GGGTGCAGTGGTGTGTGCCTGCCCCCCTCCCATTATCCTTTAGCTTTGGGCCAGGAGCATTGCTCAGGGCAGCTTCTGCCCAGGGTGGGTGGGACTGAGCAAGATGGATTTTCTTTTGATAAAAGAGTCGATGCCTGAAAGAGAAACCATTTCCTTGATTGTGTAAGGAACTCGCTGTACGCACACTAGAGAATAAAGCTTCTGTTTCTAGGCTTCCTGTGTCACCTCTGTCCCTGCTGCCACCACCCCACCCCCACCCCCACCCTGGGGAGGAGAAGCCCTCCCTGGGGAAGTGGAATGAAAGGGACGGAGTCTGTGGAATGCCACCTGTGGGCTGTCACCTCCAACCTCCCACAGTGGGTGTTGGCCCAACAGTGAAACATGGAAGTTCCGGGAGGCCTTTGCGTGGCCATTTTTCCAGGGACCTGCAGGGAAAGCGTTCTGGAAACAGCATGTGCAAGGGTCCAGAGGAACAAGGGCTTGGGGCCACCAAGGCGCTATGGTTGGTGGAGAGCAGTGGGGCGGGGAAGGGTCATCAGGGTGATAGCCAAGGGCCCTGTGACTCAGATGGAAGCTGCCTGTGGGAGGCCAAGGCTCCCACTTGTGAACCATCCTGTCTGTCCGACATATCCTGGATTTTACATGGCGGGGCAGCGCTGGTGGGGATGGAGGGAAGTGGGAGGACTACCAATGGCAGGACATGGGGTGGGGAGGGTTTGATGGACAGGGGAAGGTGCAGTATTTCTGGCTTGGTCATTTGTTGGTTGGTCAGGGGCTCATGGAGGCAGCCAGCAACAGGAATATGGCTCTGAGGCTCAGGGGAGTGCCCCATGTGCAGCAACTGTGGGCAAAAGGAACACCTTGAGCTGACGGCACCTCCTTTGGCTGCATCTAAAACTGAAACGGGACTAACATCTGAAATATGCAAAGAATTCCTGCAAACAAAGGACAGCAGCCCCAACAGAAGAGAGGCTGTAAACGGGAAGGAGGAGGCCCAACCGTAACGGGAGTGTTGAGAGTTACTCAGACCCCTTGGTAATCAGACAGATGCACGCCCATGAGATGCCACCTCACACTGGGTAGCCTGGTGTTGAGTGGGAGATCAGGAGCCCCCAGGGCTGAGAAACAATGCGGGTGGGTATGAGCACGCCCTTCACCCTGCTGTCTGTGGGGACAGGTAGTGAGTGTGGAAAAACCAACTCAAACCATTTTCCTCTGCTCTCACTGCACATAACAGTCAACACAGAAGACTTCTGTGACCAAGTGAGGGATTTCTCACGGGACAGTGGCTGGGTGCCCTCCCATTCAATTCAATTCAACCCAGCCGCTCCCTGCCTACAGATGGCTTCAGAAACCCCAGGTCAAGGGCTCAGTCCCACAAGACCAACCCTTCCTTCCTACCAGTCCAAGGTCTGGGCCTGCAGAACTTCTGACAGACTGTCTTCAAGTTGGGGTTCTAATGACTCCTCTTTTGGGTTCAATTAATTTGTTAGAGTGGTTCACAAAAGTCAGGGACACATTTACTTCATTTAGCAGGTTTTAATTTTTTTTTTTTTTTT